CTACGTCTGCTCTTTTAGGTGCCTAAGAGGCATAGAGCTAGTATGCCCTAGTTGTAGATACTATAAGATACCCTCCGTAGTGCTTAGATATGGTATCGTCGATTTATAGACGCCTTTTCGGGTAGAAGAAAAGCCTAGAAAAGTAGCCGCAGATTAGTCAGAATTATAGGGCACGTACTTAATAACGGTCTAATCGAAGTGATGACTTAGGTAGCATAGTATAGATCTATCAGTACGTTAAAAGGAGTTATTTAGTAGCTTCTAATCCTACTAATATTCTCGCCGTTATAGGCGTTAGTTAAAGATTAAATTATATATAAAATCCTTATAGTATACGATATTCAAGAGTCTAAAATTATGGCCTCTCATTAGTCTGTTTAATCTCACGGTTATATTACCGTAACCTTTAATAAGCAGGTATAAACTACCGGCTACTACGTAGGCCCCTATATAGCGGGTATAAAATCAGAAAAACGGGAAAAATCGATAAGAATATAAATAGTAGCGCCGGAATCCAGGATAGTAGAGGCTCGAAGAGGGTAGCTAGTCGCAGTACTAGCCGTAAATATAGCGACGTAAGAGACGCTAGTACGGACGCTGCTATAGTTAAGTCACGCCTTTTTAAGATATATAGAGTCCCGACTTATATCTTTCTTTACCTTCTGTATAGCACGTAGTTCTTTTATTTCCGCGCGTATCGCAGGGTTATATTTAAGGATCTTTTAAACGGTTATTTTACTGCTTTTGTACGTAATCTACCCCTTTATTAGTATTTCCGGGAATAGGTAGTAGTAGGTATTAATATCGTGACTAGGGATAGTATAAACGCGGTAGGGTTCCTGTTACTGTAAAGCAGATTAACGTCTTTTAGAAGAAGAGCGGTTAGTTAAAGTAATAGAAGGTATAGCTATAAATACTGCGGTAATAGGATTCTTAGCTTTATTCTTCCGATAGTGATATGCCTGACCGATAAATCCCTGGCCAGCCAGTACTATAGGACCTGTAAGCCAGGCTTTTCTCGAGGGGTAAACTTTAGGTACAAAAAATGCGGTGTGATAAAGATATCTTCTCTAAACTAAGGGGGTACGCCCCTAGGACTTAAGTATTCCACGGGTAAACCCCGTGGAATCCTCGGCTCTTACGTACAGGAACCCGGGGGATTCCCCGGTGTTCACCAATCATACCCCAGGGAAGCCATGGTGTACCCCAAAGGTACCCCGTGGTACGCCCTGGTATTCCCGGTGGAATCTGGGGCGTATCAGATAGCCGCCCTTCCTTTTAGGCTTAGCTATAGTCTTTATGGTATCTTCACCCTCTTCGCTTCTAATATATAGTGCAGGGAATACTATAACGCGATATTTACCGCGCTTTCCTTAGTTCTTAAGTCTAGTCTCGATATATCGTTATCTAAGGGTATTAAGATCCTCGGAGAGGACTACTTCCTTATTTAAGAGGCGTCTCTTAGCTTCGGTCTAGTCGCGGCTAGCTATCCCGCGGATCCCTTTAAAGAAGTCTACTACCTAGATATACGTTACGGGCGTCGATTTAACCTCTTTAAGATATTTTAATAGTTCCTGCTGTCTTACTAACTACTCCTATAGCTTCTTAAGGCTATTCGAAGTCGTACGGACGTATTTATTCTACTTTTCGTAGATATCTATATAGTATCTAGTTATATAGTAAGCAGTATCGCGTTAAATAGCTTTATATACTCCTTAAGGGGTAGTGTTATATAGGGGTAGCTTACGGCTTTTATCGATAATATTAATCTACTATATGAGTACGGCGTTAATACCTTTAGCGTATTTATAGTGGTTATCCCTTTATATCTTCTAGCGGTATATTATAGATTCGTAGGCGCGCTAACCGCCGGCTATTATATTTAATAGCTACATAGGCGTAGCGCCTACTTATATAACTACAATTAACGCTTAGAATTTACCGTAGGTAGGTAAAGTAGGCTTTTAAGGAGGGGGAATAAGTTTATGAGGGTATAGATATTCCTAGACTTTATTATTAATGGCGGTAGCTTTATAGTGGCTACGCTAAAGCTCCTAATCGTGATAGGTTTTATAGGTAATAGGCTAGTATTCGGATATATTAATAATTAATAGATACGCTATATTAACGCGGCTAGATAGTTTTTTAATCGGTAGTAGTAAAGGTAAAAAAGGTAGGTTATCACTTAGTAAGTAAGACTCTTAATTATTGGATAAAGCGTAGTCAAAATCATTATAAAATAGGTCAAGATTAATTAAGGCAATTATGTATAATTATAACTATGTTAGACCGTCAGAGAACCGCTGCCACCGTATTTTATATAGTGCAGATTCTGTAAGCGTCTACCCGGATTGTAATCTTGGCAATCCGGCCCGTTACGTAACCGAAAAGACTATGGTCTGCTCGATAAGTACTGCTACGAACGTAAGGCTGGCTACTTATTACGGACTTTAAAGTGGGCCAGCGTCAGTGTAGTATTAGAGGATAGATTTTCACTTAGTAAGACTCTTAATTATTAAATAAAGCGTACCCGTGCCATGCCCTACTTATATTAGTTCGTTAAAACTTACTAGCCTATAAGCTAGTACTCGATAATTATATATTTAAGATAGTTATATCACTATTTTCTACCGATTTTAAAGCTATTTATAACTATCGCGATAATATAACCTAATAACCTATCCCCCACGTGGTATATAGCTTACCTAGTCGCTTAGCCTTCCTCTAAGCCCTACCTATCTTTATAGCGTCCTCCCCTACCTTTTTATACGCTCTTTACTTCTTTAAACGCGTAGTGTCTATAATACGCTCTGCCTTCGTAACCTTATCCTTAACGCGTTATTTAGCTATCCTACGCGCCTTATTCACGGTTAAGACGCCTCCGTGCTATAGCTAGAGGTTCCTAGTAGCACGGCGTTAGTGGGTAATAGCCTCGGCTAGCTTTATACGCGCGAGGTCCCTCTTTACTTAGATTAATTCGGACGCTAAAGGTAACGACCCCTTAATAAAGGTTATCACTTTACGTTACGTGGTAAGATCTAATTCCGCCTTATCACGTAAACTACGCCTAATTCTACGGGCAGAACGATATATCTAATAAAGGGTTATAAGCATTACCGAGTTTAAGGACCTATTAGAAGGGGTAGGAGGCGGGGTAGGTATCCGAGGTCTACGCTCTTCTAACTACTATAGGATAACCTAAGGGTTAAATAGATAAATCCCTATTTTCCTAAAACCTAAATGGATTATTAGTTACTTAAACGCCTACTTATATACGCGCTTAAGTAATAAAAGGAATTCAAACTTTATACTATTAATAACTCTATTATAAACTAACTAGTTAAGGGCTTTAGTGTGGTAATGCTCTAAAGCCTAGAAAATAATGACGTTAAGCGGTTAAAGTATATAGGTTAAGTAAGGAGGTAATCTACAAAGGATAATATTATAATCGTTATAATATTATGTAAATTCCTTTATATAGTAGGAACTATATCTATCTAGGATTAATAGCCGCTTCGCGCTAATAGATAACTTATAAGAGTGCTTATTAAAGTGCTATAGCTAATATAGGCTAATCTATTATTTAGTTAGCGGGATACTTTATAGTAAAATAAGGTAGGGCAGACCTAGTCGTTAGAATATCTAGTTAGCGATACGGCCATTATTATTTCGCCGGCTATCTCTTCTAGTTTATACTATTACTATATATAGATTTTACTACTTAAAATCAGGAAAATAAGGATAATAATACTACCTACTAAAATAGCTTTAATCGCTATTATAGACTCTTTATTCTGAGGGGTCCTAAAATAATAGGATTTATTCCGTTTAGTGACTATAACCTGATCTTTGCCTATCCTAATCTAAAAGCTAGTCTTATCTATATTCTGGATAGATTCCGGTAGGATCCCGTTTTCTAATATAACCTCCTATAATTAGTTAAAGTAATAAAGAACCCGTTCGGAATCCTTAGTAGTCTAACGGTTCGTATCTATCTTCTTTTACTTCTTCTTAAATTAGCCGTGCCGTTAGATAAACCGTGTAACCTATTATTAACTAATAGTAAGGGCGGGGTAGCCTTTTCTAGTATTAAGACACGCCTTTAGCATCATATCTATAGTATTAGTAATAAACTTAGGTTGAACTATAAGGTTAATATTATTAAGGCGGTCGATATAGCAGTATAGGGCTTTTTTTTCGGGCTTTAAAAGCTTCGAATTCGCTGACTTTTAACCTAGTTAAAGAGGGTAGCCGCGAAGGCGATTCGGGAGCGTGTGTTATAGGATTCTAATTTAACGCGCTACTATTAATATTATAGCCTCGGGGTTTTCGTTAATATAATTAATAGCCTTAGCGACACGAGATTCTATCTTTAAAAGGATTAAAATAAGGTGTTATTATCGATAAAAACGCGGTTATTATAAATAGCTTTTAAAAAGTAGTTATATAACTACCTTAAATATATAACTATCGAGCACTAGCTTATAGGCTAGTAAGTGTTAACGAACTAATATAAGTAGGGCGTGGCACGGGTAGTTAAAATCGTCACAAAATAGGTCAAAATTAATTAAGGTAATTATGTATAAATATAACTTTGTCAGGACCGTCAGAGAATTCCTGCCACCGTAATATCGGTGGTGAAGATTCTGCAGGTGTCTACGCCGGTTATAATCTCGGCAATCCGGCCCGTTACGTAATCGACAAGACTATGGTCTGTTCGACAACAATTCATAACAAATAACAGCCCCACAATGGAGAATTTTGTTCTCGTTTATCGTGTTCCATAGTCCTGGCTATCCCAACCTTAAATTCTCCTTCCTCTTCCTGGGGGTTCTCTGTCCACCACGCATGGGAGCTGCGCAACCGCTGATACTTGAAGACGCTATGCCAGAGCTCAAGGATGACCAAATAGATCAAATTCTGAATGAAGCTGAAGCTCGCCTGTCATCGACGCGGCCTGATGACCAGAATGGTCTCTCTGTCATAGGGCCCAGGGTCTCCAAACCCGCTGCAGAGGTCAAGTTCCGGACTTCGCAACTCAACAATAATGATCTAACTATTCGAGACCCGCGTACAGCATCGGCTGTTTCTCAGGTGTGTGGACGATTCCCATTGGTTTTCTTTGAAAGAAGTGTATGCGTCTTGTCGTCCCGAATGCCGCTCCTATGATGAGATGTAACCCTTTCTCTAGTGATGCGATGGCGTGCTCATTTTGAGCAACGCTATCGCAAAGTCATGATCACCCATTATATTTTCATAGTTACTCTGATTGCGGTGGCCTGATGCTTTCCTTACGAATACTATTGTTCCGATTGCCAGACAACCCAGACAACTGACAGCTTATGGCAGGAAAAGGATAATGCTGGTCCAGGCTGGTTTGAACTGCCCAAGACGGATCCAAATGATAAGGAGTTGAGGCGAGATCTCCAACTGCTCAGAATGCGAGGGACTGCCCTCGATCCCCAGCGTCATTACAAGAAGGACTCGCTGAAGCCTCGAATACCCCGCTACGCCCATATCGGCCGCATCATCGAAGGACCAACGGAATTCTACAGTTCTCGGCTCACACGTAGAGAACGAAAGCGTACATTAGTACAAGAAATCATGGCCGCGGAGGCGGCATCGACCAAATTCAAGTCCAAGTATGAGAACATTGGGGCCCAGAAGTCGAGTGGGAAAAAAGCATTTTATAAGAAGTTAGTAGCGCATAGGCGTCGCCGCAATTGAGACATCTCTAGACCCGGTTTTCCCTGTCATCCTGCTCTTCGTACGGAGGTAGTTCTACTCTGGCCTCCGTCGGTGTAACCTTAATACACAATGGGTGTCATTGCACATCCTGCTAATATCCTTTTAACAGAAATGATGTATTGTGCGTAATTGTGTGTGTGTAGTTAGGTTGACCTCCTGTATTACAATTTTCTCCTGCATCATTTTGGACATCCTTTCGAGACTCAAATCCAGAGACAAGCAGGCAAACAAGAGCCCTTCACTTCCTGGAGGCAACGTCTAACAAGTGCTAACTTGCTACTCTGAACAGATTGACTAATGCGCGAAGATATGAAACCCACAACATCCCAATCATGCCGCCATCCAATCCTGTATTCAAACTTCTGAGAGCAACTCCTGAGCAACAAATGTATACAACCTGTGGGTAGAGTACTTTCCGCTGCCACAAGTCCTGACACAGGCGTATTCAGAGTATGCCACAATCATGTGTGCATAACACCTCACCTCTGCATAAGGAGCTTTGTTTGTGCCACATGCTGAACCACTTGGCTCCGGCTTGCGGACAACTTGTTTAGGTGACTCACGTGCATGGTCTTTATGTATCGCATAAACAGGAGCAACATCAGTTCCATGCTGTAATATCATGTCAGTCGTCTGTTGTACCAGGGTCAGTCATGGCTACGAACCGCTCTTTTGACATCATTAGGATGCCTTGAACTAGAAGGCCTTTCAGAATCTGAGGCCCAATGCCCTTGAATAGGCCAGAGGGCCCTTCCCGGTCCACAATGAACTTCATGACCTCGCCAAAGGTGCTGAATGGTCGTCCTTGTCTTTCCCGTGGTGGGCGAGATTGCAGGCCTACTTTAGCAACAATAAGTGGCTGGGTCACAATTGTCGCCAGTGCCTTGGACATGGAGCCTAATACTAAGGAAGAGTTAGCAACAATAGAAAAGACAGGACAGCAAGAAATGGAGGCCTACCGAAGGCCTCCCACGGCCGCAGGTTCTTCTTTCCGGGGAATAGACTGTCCTTTAACCTCTCATAGGCTCCGTATGTGATGGCTGGGTTCACCACGAGTACGAGGCTTGCCTTCAGCCCTCTCCAAAGGCCGAAAAACCCATCATCACCATCAATCACCTCTCTCGCTGTTTCGAAGAACCCTTTCCTCTCACATTTGTGCTGTGTTTGTTGCCGTGTGGTGACGACAGCAACCGGAATTGTGAATAGCTGGGCAATGGCTCCAGCAGTAGCTCCAAGAGAGAGTTCGACAAAAGTGGACGGAGGCCCTGCAACTTTCGAGGTCTTCACATAGAGGGTACGCACGATGGAATACCAGTAAAAATAGGCGAAATTAGTGGACGCGACACCAACGAGCGAAGCATTCATTCCCGCATAGAGGCCTGACAGGCCCTCTTCGGCGACAATCTTCGAAATTGCATCCCACGTGGATGTGTAGTGCATTTCCTCCCCTAGCGAGGACGGAGGGTCCGAGGCTGTGGGCGATGGGCGTGCCTTGACCTGCACTTGAAGACGCGTTTTGACTCTATTTGACGATATTAGTCGCTTGTTAGGACGAAAGCGTTTGGTAAATGTAGCTTGATTATTTCTCACATGTCCAGAGGATAAACGAGTGCATTCGCTAGGACAGCCCCTGACGCTCCGGCCATGGCACGCCCCCACGGGGAAAGCGTAGCGACTGGTTTGGACTGGGCCACCATGTTGGCTGCAATGGGGCAAATGTGAGTCGGGGTCTTCGACTCAGAGCCTCGGCTGCCGTGCAAGCAGCAAAGGGAATGTTCAGGGGAGTTGCAGTGGATAGGACGAGGATCAACTTCGGTCGAGAACAAGGCGATGAAGTGTTGAAATTGCTACGTCGGTCTACAGCAGAGAGATCGGGGCAGGAAGGCACGGAGCCTTTGAAGGTAAAAGTGGCATTGAGCTTGATGACTGTTGAGAATGAGTTGTAGGCTTTGGTTGTCTACTTTGGACCTCGGCCTCTGTTACATTCTGCCGTCATCCACGGGTGTCATTCCCGGTAAATGAATCGGTGGACCGGGACAGTACAAAAACCACATCTCTACCAGAAAACGCCAGCATAACTGGCAGTGGAAGAAGCCTCGGCAAACGACAGGCACTCCGTATCCACTTTAAGAATTGTCAGAAGGAGTAGGCGGCGTACCGGGGCGGTACTTTGGGTTCCCCCAGTCGGTTCTAAAGGGTACATGTCACGCGTGTCACACGGCCCTTTTTATAGTACTATTTAAGGTAGATAGACATTCCCTTAGAGTACCTTTGGAATCTCCAAGGAATAAGAATCATGAGTTCGCGTACCGATATTCTTATTCTGACAGTTATGAGCCCGGCGCTCTAGTAAAACGGCTCTATTCTGGTCAATCTAATAGCTCTATATCTTTTTAAAGCCTCGAGATTGTTATGGTGAGGGTTATTTATCGGTAATATCCGCCTACTTTATTAGACTACTCCTTCGAAGAGTCCTTTATTCTTCGGCCTTACCGTCGTTGTAATCCTTTGGCCCAGTCTGCCGTTATTGTCGCATAGGCATAGGACTATAACAGGGTCCCTAGGGGATCTATGCCTAACTAAGGGCTTCGGACCTCGGGGATCAGGATATAATACAAGCTTAGCAGCTTGCCCTACGGGCAAGGCCGCTGCGCTCGCCCCTGCTGGGGGCTATATATATAACCCGATTATCTAACCATATTATATAGATATATATACTAAGCAATATATAAAAGTATTATTATTTATAGATAAAGGCTATTTATTTCTAATAGTTTCTAAAACAGTGTAAAACTATAGAACTACGAAGATATACTATAAGAATAAACTTATAGATAAATATATATATTATACTTTCTTAAGTATATAAAGAAATTATACCTTATATATAATATAAAAAGAGCGTTATATAATAGAATTAGAATTATATTATATTTTATTTATATAGTTTTTATACTATAGTAATATAATATAATAATATAAAATAGGGTTAAGTTTATTTTACTTCTATTTAACTTCTTTTTATAGTGTATTCTTCTTTAGCTCCTTATATATCTATATCCTTCTTTGTTTAATACTTATATTAGAGTATTTTCTCTATAACTACTTCCTAGTAATATATATACACCTTTAATTTCTTTTTAGTTCTTATCTTATTTTACTGTATCTTATCTATTAGCTTTATCTTATATACTATCTTTATTTTATTGTATTTTATATTAATTCTATTCTGACTTTATAACTTTATAAGTTTATATAACATCATTCTCGATAACTACTTTATATTCTACTTATATTATATGTATATTAACTTTTCTTTACTTAAACCTAAGGATATAATTCTTATATTCTATACTCATAATACCTTACTTTCTTATATTTATACTGTATTTTATCTATTAGTATATTATTTAATATATTATTCATATTTATATAGTATTCTATTATCTATCTTTTACTTTTTACTTTATATATTATACTCTTTCTGATTAAATATCTTCTTTCTTAGAATAATACTATATCTCATCCATGTTTATTATAGTACTATATATTATATTCTGCTTATGTTATAGTACTATTTATATTATTTCTTATACTTATATTTACCTAAATATATCTCATTGTATCTATTATCTTCTATTTACTTTTATATAATATACCTTTTTATTTTTATTTTATTTTACTTATTATCTTTTATCTTTCCTTGTCCGTATTTCTTTATCTTTATCTTATTAGCTACGTCTAACCTTATTCTACTTTATATTACCTATTACCCTTATACTATTTATTTTCTTTATACTCTTTTATATTACTTTTATTCCTATAGTTTTTATAGTTTCTCTTAGTACTATAGACTTAATTCAACCTATACTTTATACTTTATTCTATATTCTATTCTATATTTTATTTTATTTCTTATTCTATTTTGTTTTGTATTTTATAGCCTATTCTTATCCTATTTCTTATCTTGTTTTTTATCCTATTCGGGGGATATAGTATATAGCAGCATAGTCCGGCCGTTAAATACGCATGAAATCCGCACGGATCGCCCTTAACTAGGTACCACACGATTTACTGTATATTATATATTAATGCAAAGTACCGAAACTTTCACAGCTATACTACTATATACTTTAAAAGTATGTCCCCCGCAAAAGACAGCAAAACCCCGAAAAACGGGCCCGGGCGGTAGTACTACTACAAAAACTAAGGCTGCTAAAAGTGGTCGGAAAAGGAAGCGGGCCAGCTTTAGTAAAGTATTAGAAGGGTGGATATTGGGAAAGACCGGATAGAATCCAAATAATATATTACCTATAACAGAGTCTACACTACCTAAATTAAGGACATAAAAGACTTATATAGATATAACTTATTATAATATATATACACGAGATGTCTACTTTACTAGGACTATTACCATAATTATTATATAAACGCTATTTAATATACGATACTTATAAGCCTAGTTTATAACGCCTAAACGATATATTAACAGGCTGCCCTATCCAACTATAAAAGTAATCACGTTTTTAAGTGCTCTTTGTATTATTATTATTACTATTCTTACTCTGCTATTCTATCTAATCTATAGGAGCCTAATTTAGACTATACAGTCCTTCTTAGATAGCTATAAAAGGGAAAACCCGGGATCCCGGCGAAAACGTCTATACTTATCCTTAGATAGAGTAATACCGTTACGGGGCCGATATAGCCCCGGTTTGTCCCCTTTATATATCTGGATTACACCTCTAGGCTAATAGCTAACAGCAAGGGTAATAGGCTACAGTTCGAGTTAGCCTAGGCCGGTTATTAGGGAGGGAACGGGGGGCCGAAAGGGTACCGCGGCGTCTCCACCGTATAGCGGCCGCGGCATACTATGTCTGGCCTCCTTATATCCACGGGGACTATTCCTGTTATCCCTTCTATTTAATTAATAAAGAGAAAAGGTAACGTAGATATTCCTGCCTCCCTTAAGAGAGTAGGTACTTACTATATCCGGTAGTAGGCAGGAAGGGCAGGGCTCCGCCTATACCCGTAAAAATAGTAGTGTTACGGCCAGCCTAAGCCCGACCGTCGGAGGGACCAATACCAACGGGATCTGAAGAGGTATTAGTCGTATAAGATAAGGAACAGGATTTAGGGAAAGTACAGAAAGAAGGTCACGTGCTAAGTCACCTAACCTAGGTAATCATAACGGTCATAGGATAATCACAACGATCAGGGATTATTACGATTATGAAATGATCGTTATAATCCCGTAATGGGTCCTAGAGACCTAAGGCGAGGATAGGGGGATTAAGGAGCTATAAAGACCTATAGGGGCTGCCTATAACCAGTAATCACTCTAGCCTTAGTGACTAATCTAAGTCTTTACTAATACCTACTTTTAGGAGTATTTAGTGAAGAGGTATTAAGCCTTACGATCGACTACGAACTTAAGGATTATCGGCTAGTAGTGACTGTATACTTACTATGGATATAACCCCACGATCACCTACCTAACCTAAGGACTCCTAGACTTAGTGTTAAAAAGCCCTAGATCGTAATATTTTAAACACTCCGTTTAGTAAGTACGCCCTTACTCACTGACCGATAATTAAGACAGGAACACTATATCCTCTAATAATAGTAACCGAGCTACGAATAATAACACTGCTAGTGCCCGGAACGCGACGGACTAGGCCGCTACGATAGCTAGTCCGCCTCCCGCGTATAATAACTCCGGAGGGAGTAGCGGTAGAGGAAACCTAAGCGGTAATATTAACATAACGGTAATTATAAGCCTTATAAACAAACTTTAAGCCTTAAACTAGGAACTACGACTTTAGGTCTAAACGCAGGGATAAACCGTTAGGACGTAATTTCGATATCCCGAGCCTGCTAAGTTCGATAGCACTCGAGGAAGGCTTTAAGGGTTCTTAACCTAGATACGCAGCTATCTCTTATATCACCAAAGTTCAATTATAGGAGAGACGGCCAAAGTCTTTTATACTACCGCCTTCCTAGAAAGGGATACACTATCGTGGTTTAAGCCTATTTAACGCGATTACCTAGAGCACGAATAAGATAAACGAGAAGATAAGACTAACCGAATCTTCGACGACTATAATACTTTCGAAGAATGGATTAAGAATATATTCGGGGATCCTAATAAATAACGAGTAGCTTAGCACCGCCTTCAGAACCTAAAGTAAAAGGGATCGGCCGCCGAATTTACCGCTAAGTTCTAATAGCTAGCTTTATAAGTTAGCTAGGACGACGAGGACCTTATCTTAGTATACTATAAAGGACTTAAGGATAAGGTCCAGGGCGAACTATATAAGATAGATTAGCCGGAAGAATTCTCGGAGTTCACGGCACTTATAACTCGAATCGATAATAGGCTATATACTCGGAGACTATAAAAGAAAGGGAAATATTATACCGGAGTATATTAAGCTAACACCTTAAAGAAGTAAGCTAACCCTTAATAGTTCGAGAATACCTTATATAGATAGTATTTAGGACCTATAGAGATTAATAATACTAACTATCAGAAAAACACGTAAAAGAGTATTCGGTAGAAGAAGGAAGTAACCTGCTATAACTATAATAGGAAGGGACACTTCGCCCGAGAATACTACTAACTAAAGCGGGAATAAGAAGTAAAAGAGACTAACGGAGTGGAAGTATAGCCCGAAGTACCCCACGCCTTACTCTCGTGGATAACCTGCTTTAACGATAACTATACTATATATAAGTCTAGTAAAGATAATACAGGATAGTACCCTAAGCGACCTTAATAAACCTTAGTAGTTATATTAGTAGTATATAACGAAGAAGATAACGACTAAATAAATAAGGCGCTTAAAGATAACGAAGATATAGACGCTCTACTAGGACTATAGGTATAGGACTAGGTATAAAGGACTAATAGAACCTAGGAGTGGGTGAATAGATAAGACGAGCTAACTATAAGGATATCTTAGCTAGTGTAATATAGTAGCGAAGAACTACTTACGGATAACGAGAACTATATCGGTATACTAGTACGCGTA